AAAAAAAAAAAAAAAACTGTTATCATTTTCGTTGATGTGGAGGACGGTTTTATTACATGGAAACTAACCGCGGTCAAGTGCATGCCAAATCAGCCAAGTTATCCAACTCACCTTAAAATAATATTAAAACTTTAAAAGAAAAAACAAAAGTAAAATGCAAACACTCCCCTTCTTCTCCGGCAGCTTCCCCTTCTTCTCCGACAGCTTCCTGCTACCGTGTCACCGGGCAAAAACCAAAAATGTTCTTCTTCCTCCTCAACCTCCCTCCCCACTCCCACAAAAAACCAAAACCCACCACCCTACATCCGTGACCAAGATTGAACATAGTTGCCTTTATTTTCAAACCCATGAAGTGGGTGCAAAAATTCAAGCTTGTTATGAGTTTTCAACAAAGTATCCATAACTTCTTAAACAAAATTCAAAAGGGTCTCTCAATTCTTGAAAATGACAATAAAAATTTCACGAATTTCTTGGATTCTCAAAGCAGAGCTATCAACTCATAGCAATAATTGAAGAACAAATTCTGCATATACAAGATTTAAGGCAATAAATAATGGTACAAAAGAAATGGAGTAATACGTGGAAATGAAAATCTCATGGCGGTGCTGGAAATGGAAATGATAGGTAGCGGTGCTGTGGCCGATTCAGTGGGAAAGAGGGTAGGGTAGCGTAGGGTGACAACACTTTTTATTTTTATTTATTTTCTTAATTTTTTGGATTTTTTAATTTTTTTTTTCCTGATTTTATGGTTTTTTGATTAATTTATTTAATATGATAATTATCAAGTTATTATTTTACCCTTTTAAATTTAATCAAAATTCACTTTTCTTGGTCAACTAACGGTTTCAATCCATTTGAATCTCCGGTACATATTTTTGAAAGGTTTGAGACTGTTGCGACACAAAATAAAAATTGGGTAAAGTGTGCAAAAAATGAAAAGGTTCCGCTGCTACAATTTTCCCTTTGTTAAATTATTATGGTAATAAAAGTTAAAGATATGATATGTATGTTATGACCATTCGGTACCAAAGATATGAAATTTATTGAGCCCTTTCTGATTTCTAAAGATATAGTGATGATATGATATTTTTGACACATTTTAAATCTTTTATTCGGAATTGCACTATTATTCATGTTCTACTGAGTATTCTCATATATTCACAATTTTCCCTACCTCACACAGGTTAGAATGGGTCGTGATTGGTAAGTGATGAGGTGCAGTCATTATGCTTGAATTCATTTGACTTAATAAATAAAATTCAATGTAACGTGACTAGAGATTTTATTTTCATCATTTACTTTAGTTTTATTATTATGTTGATTGTGTTATTTAGGGTTTGGAACATATTTTATTTGGTTATGTTTTTCCACAATCAAATTTAAGCTATCACTTTAAGTAGCTGAAACAGAGAGAAGTTTCTTATTTTAAAATGAATGGATGCCAGCCAAGTTGTTACATCTCTATCAGACGTACTCTTAACAAAAAGAAATAACCAACATAATTATCAAAATCAAGCAACATAAATAGACAATGCAAAGTTAGTGCTATATAATTATCTTCTAGAAATCTAATTTGCTGTTGATACCATTTCTACACATCTGAACTTCTTCTCCAAGCTGGCAACTTACGAGAGAAGGCCCACCATCTCAACAATCTTTCCCACAAGTTGCAGCAAAGAAACATGAGAAAAGCCCACATTTCCAGCTTATCTCTTAATGCTATGGATAAAGGGACCAACTTCAACTAATCATTCAAGTCCCTGCATAATTCAAAGGTTATAACTTCGAATAAACCAACAGCAGCCACGAGAGCATACAAGAATAGTTTGTTTTCTGAGATGCTTTGATTGAAACTTGAAAGGATGTCCCATGTAATTCGCAGTATATGTGGCAACCAATATCATCATGCACACCATGAATGAAACTGTACTCATGAGGGAGTCCTCTTGTTCAATAAATTCATCTGGCATGTAATTTTCAGCATCTTTCACACAAGATACCAAGACCAAAAGGTGAACTCCAAATTGTCCTAGGACAGAAAGGAAGACATAAGTGCACAATTTATTGGAATGAGAACGCTCAGCTGAGAGGGTACCAAGGGGCAGAGCATGCTGCATAAACTGAAAGAAAGCCGTTGCAGAAACTACATGGATTGTAGCTTGAATAGAAGTCTCTTTCATACCATATAAGTACATTACACTCAAGTAGGCAGTTTGAAGGAAAATAATCTTCAACATCTGAAGGTTAATGACTAGGTTACTGCAACCTTGACGAATTATGTCGGTGATGAAGGCAACTGAAGTACGCTTTGCCACAAATGATGATGTTATCGAGGCATCCCCTAACTCAGTAGTTATAACAACTATCATATCTGGGTTGCTAGCCCACATTGAAACAACTTGGCTATTTGAAGGGAGGGGTTTTGCACTGGGGAAGCCTACTCCTATATGTGCCTGTGAAACATAAATATTAAGTCTAACAAAAGCTACAGATAATAAAACCAATTCAAATAATTATTTTTTTTATAAAAATATCCTGACCATTAAAACTCAGGACGCTGATACATAATGTCCAACTACAGCAAAACAGTTTGTAACAAGGAAATTAGGGAGGCTTGCAAGCAGTCTACATGTTTGTTTTAGGAAACATACACAGTAATCCTCAACGCAACAAACTTTTGCAATGGCATCACACCCATGCATAACACACACTTTACATGCCATGCTGAAGACATAAATTATGTGCCGAGAATCATATGCTTCATTGCTATGCAATTACTAACAAGCAATGATGACAAAAATCAAAGTGAAAAAATCAGTATAGTAACCCAGCTTTCAGGCACATAAATTCTGTATTCTGTGAAACCCACGGGTGTCTAAGAGATGCATATTGACTTTTCATTATATAAAACCTGCTTCAAAGCTCCAACATCATTTATTCCATCACCACACATCATTGTTACCCTCCCCACCAATTTAAAAGTGGTCACTATGAGTTCCTTTTGCTCAGGAGACATCCTTGCAATACCTGAGAGATGTTACGAAGTTTTGAGAGAATGAGAACCAATAGAGTGCTGAGTATGACACAAATGGTAAACTATAAACAGTTGATTTTAAAAAAAAAATCAAAAATCAAAATATCTATGTGAATCTATTAAAAATCTCAACAAGAAAACATTTTTTGGATGTTAACTAAAATTTATCTATAACAAAAATTATCATAATATAAACATTTCTAAAACGATTTAAGAAAAACTGTGAAATGATTGGAGAGAGATTAGCAACCTTTACGTGCGGAATGACTTTAAGAATACCAGAAGTTTTCTGCAACATTTCAATGCAGTCGCCTCCAATACAAAGATCATAAGCCTCCGATAGAGCTTCAACTGCATTCTCCCTGTTAACAAAATTAATACTTGGAAAAGCTCAAAGAATTTCCAAGAAATCCTCCCACAACCCAAATCAAAGCTACCACGCAATGGGTTGTTAGAAATAGGATTCACGAGTGTACACATGATTGATTTTGATGCTTGAACTTTGACGAGGCTTGCACAGGATGCATTAGGGTTTATTCGGGAAACTGTTGAGAAGGTCCACGTGTTAAGTACAAGAAGACTTCAGTTTCTTTTATTTTCTTTTCAAGAATTATTTTATGGATGTTTTCTATTTTATTAGACGAATGAACTTTAAGATATCTTTGAATAATACGACATACCGTGACAATTATATTCTTTTCCTAATCCAGAAGTGTGGTTAGTGCCTTAGTGGTGGTTCAAGAAGAATAAGGATGGATGTCCTCGAGAAGACTTGACTTTGGAGAGTTGCACAAGTTATTCTACCATCTATTTATCTTCTTTCATACACATATTAATAGTTGTTAAGAAATATAGGATTATTTTATTGTTTATTAAGGGTAGAATAGTCTTTTCAATTTTCTTTATTTAACATATATATAATTTCTTTGTTTCTAGGTTAAATCATTC